ACCATTCTGACAGGTGTGAGGTGATATCTCATTGTAGTTTGGATTTACATTTCCTTGATTGTGAGTGATGATAAACATGTTTTCACATGTGTACTGGCCATTGGCGGAGGAAGGTTTTAAATAACGTGCAATTTATTAAATAGATATTGAGTTATTTTGATTTTCTACTTCTACTAGACTTCATATTTCATGTTGTCCTTTTAAAGGAATCTTACTGGGGCATCTGGGAGTCTCAGTCAGTTAAGCATCCAAGTCTTGGTTTCAGCTCATTTCATGATTTCATAGCTCATAAGATCGAGCCCTGTGTTGGCTCCCTGCTCAGCAAGAAGTCTGCTTGAAGATTCTCTCCTGCCCCTACTCCTACTCACACATGTGCACAAGTGCTCTCTCTCTTTCTCTTTCTAAAATAAATAAATAAATCTAAAAAAATAAAAAGGAATTTTACCTTTTCACTAAATTGTCAAATTGATTGACCTAAAGTTGTTCATAATATCCTCATATTATATACTTAAATTATCTGTAAGATCTAATGATGGTCCCTTTTTCATTTTGAAAATTTGTGTTCTCTTCTGTTTTATTGATCAGTCTTGTTAGAAGCTGGTCAGTATTATTATTTATTCCAAAGAAATCATTTTTTCTTTGTTGAATTTCTCTCATATATTTGTTTTCATTAGTTTCTGTTCTTATCTTTATTATTTTCTTCCTTCTACTTTCTTTGTGTATGATTTGCTATTCTTCCTAAAAATAAAGCTGAGATCATTGTTTTTCAGACTTTTTTCTTCTACTATATACATTTCAGACTATGTATTGTTCTCCAAGCATTGCTGGAGTTGAATCCCACAAAATGTGACATGCTACATACTATCATTCAGTATAAAACGTTTTCTAATTCTATTTTATTTCATCTTTCATCTATGGGTTATTTAGAAGTGATGTTTTATTTCACTTCTTTTTTTATTTATTTATTTATGATAGACATACAGAAAGAGAGAGACAGGCAGAGACACAGGCAGAGGGAGAAGCAGGCTCCATGCACCGGGAGCCCGATGTGGGATTCGATCCTGGGTCTCCAGGATCGCGCCCTGGGCCAAAGGCAGGCGCCAAACTGCTGAGCCACCCAGGGATCCCTTATTTCACTTCTAAATAAACAAATGCTAAGGATTGTCTAGTTGTGTTTCTAGATTAATTCTACTGTGCTCAAAGAACCTACTCTGAATTATTTCAATCTGTTAAGATTTTTGATACTTGTTTTATGTTCAGCATATTGTTGATTTTTAAAAATGATCCATGTACCCTTCTAAAGAAGAGGAATTATATCACTGGATGCAATGTTTTATATATTTCAATCAGGTCAAGTTTATCCATTGTGTTTTTTATATCTTTTATGTACTTACATTTTTGCTACAGTTGCAACTATTAAGATAGTGGTATTAAATCTTCAGCCATGCGTATAGATTTATCTATTTCTCTTTTACTTCTGTCAATTTTTCCTTTAAGTATTTTATGGCTACATTACTGGAAACTTACAAATTTAGAATCCTGTTATCTTCCTATGAAGTTATCATTTTTATGTATCACAATGAGCCATTCCCTTCTGTAAAAGTCCTTCCTGGCTTAATGTCTACTTCATCTAATATTAATATAACTGTATCATTCTTCTTTGATTAAGATTGCATGGTGCGGTTTTTCCAGCTTTTTTCTTTCAACCTATTTTTATATTTAATCTGTTCTCCCAGTCTTATTTATTTAATTGGCCTACTTCATTTACTTTTAGTGCAATTACTGGTATTCTTGGTTTGTATCTACCAATTAACGCATTTTTTGCTATTTGGCCAACCTGTTTCTTCTTCTCTCCTTTTCACCTTCTTTTGGACTGATCAACATATTTTTAATCCATATTTCCTTCTATTGACTTGTTATTCATTCTTTTCTCTTTTTGAAATTTTAACCCCCATCCTTTGCTTACCAGTCTTCTACAAGTTTCTATTTAATACTTGCCCAAGAATTCTAGAACCTTAGAATCATTATGGTGTACACCTGAAACCAATAGGATAGTGTATGTCAACTATACTTCAATGAAAAAGAAAAATGAAGGAATTCTAGAACCTTAGAATATTTTAACTCCATTTAGCTCCCTCTCACATTTTCATTTTGATTCTGTATAAATATTTAACACCATCGAACATTACAATTATTGTTTGGTGTAGTCAGTATTCACTTACTTTAACCCACATTTTTACTCTGGAAGCTCTTTATTTCTTCCTGTTTTCAATCTTTCCATCTGGGATCATCTTCCTCCTGTCTGAACAGCTCGCTTTAGTTTTTCTTTCAATGCAGGTTTGTCTACAAATAATTCTATCAGCTTTTCTTGATAGGAAAGTGTCTTTATTTTACCTTCATTATTTTAAGATTTTATCTATTTATTCATGAGAGACATAGAGAAAGAGACAGAGAGAGACACAGGCAGAGGGAGAAACAGGCTCCACGTAGGGAGCCCAATATGGGACTCAATCCCTGGACTCCAGGATCACACCCTGAGCCAAAGGCAGACGCTTTAACGGCTGAGCAATCCAGGCGTCTCCATTATTTTTTTTAATTTTTATTAATTTATGATAGTCACAGAGAGAGAGAGAGAGAGAGAAAGAGGCAGAGACACAGGCAGAGGGAGAAGCAGGCTCCATGCACCGGGAGCCCGATGTGGGATTCGATCCCGGGTCTCCAGGATCGCGCCCTGGGCCGAAGGCAGGTGCCAAACCACTGCGCCACCCAGGGATCCCGCGTCCCCATTATTGAAGAATATTTTCTCTGAATATAAAATTCTGTGCTAGTAGTTATTCCCCTCCACGTGTTCATGATGCCAATGCATAGAGTACTGGCCTCCAATGTAGATGTCAAGACATATCAGCTATCAGCCTCTCCTCTTCTAGGATTTTAATTATATGTAAGTTTTTTCCTTTTGACTACAACCTACATGTTTTTTACATTCCTGTCTGGTTTTTCCTGTTTTTCTCTCTAAGCTTTACTTCATTTATATATTTATTGATCTACCTTTGAGATTAATAATCCTGTGGTCTGCTGTATCCATTCCACTATTCAGCCCATGTATTGAGTTCTTAAAATCGTATATGATTGTTTCAGTTCTAAGATGACCACTCATTTTTTTAAATAGACTCCAGTTCTGTGCTGAAATTTGCCATCTTTTTAAAATCTATTTTACCCATCTTTTGCTCTATTTTCTTCGTCATATTCATATTAAAATCATCATTGCTCTGCTTTTTTCTGCCTTCTTTTTCATAAGCTTCCATTTTTTTCTCACACAGAATAGCTTATCGTAAACAACTTTATTGACATATAGTTTACATACCACTCTTTTAAAGGGCGGTTTTTAATGTATTCACAGAGTTGAACAACAATTACTACTCTCTAAATCAGAGCATTTTCATCCACCCAAAAAGGAACTACATATCCATTAGCAGTTGCTCTGTATCCCCCCTCCCCCCAATCCCTGGCAACCACTGATCTACTTCCTATCCCTATGTGTTTGCCTGTTCTGGACATTTCATATACATGGAATCATACTATATGTGACCTTTTGTGACTGGCTTCTTTCACTTGGCATAGTGTTTTCAAGTTTATCTGTGTTGTAGAATGTATCAGCATTTCATTACTATTAGTTGCCAAATAAGATTCCACTGCATGGATAGGCTACATTTTGTTTACCCATTCTTCAGAGTTTCAACATTTTACTTATTTCCACTTTGGGGCTACTATATATACTGCTGCTATGTCATGTGCAAGTTTTGGTGTGAATATGTGTTTTCATTTCTCTTAGGCATACACCTATGGAAGGAAGAAATTACTAGGTCATATATAATTCTATGTTTAACATTTTGAAGAACTGCAAAACTGCTTTCCAAAGTGGCTGCACCATTTTACAATTACACAGGCAATGGATGAGGATTCCCATTTCTTTATATACTATCCAACATTTGTGATTGTCTGTCTTTTTGTCTAGTCATCCTAGGCAGTGGTACCTTGTTTGTTGCAGTTTCGATCCATGAGACACACCCAGTCTCTTCTAAGACCCCTCCATGTGACTGAATACTGTGACTTATTTTGTTCCTTCCTCATGGCTAGTCAAAGGTTGTCCAGCATAATTTCAGCTTTGTCTCCAGAACATGCTTTTCAGAGAATGAATCTCCTACTTTTTTGCATCATTTGCAATCTGGATAGGTGGAGAATTTCCCCAATTTTTAACATATATGTTGTGTTTCATTACATTATAATCATTATTTTTGATGCTCAATTTCTCAAATCTTAAGTCAATGGAAGCCCTCTCGGGTTGACTAGTGTGTTCTTTTGTCATGGTCCTTGATGGCTTCCTTAATAATAAAGTGTCCCAGGCTCAATTTGGACATTTATTGCCTTAGATCTAGAAGCAGCCATTTCTGAAAGATGCCCAGGTTTATTTTAGGGGGAAATATTTTTAAAACTACAGTTTGAGGAGTACCTGAGTGCCTCAATCCATTAAGCATCTGACTTTGGGTCAGGTCATGGTCTCAGGGTCCTGGGATCAAGCCGGATGTCTGACTCCCTGCTCAGTGGGGAACCTGCTTCTCCCTCTGCCTGTGCCATTGCCTCTCTCTCTCTCTCTCTCTCTCTCTCTCATAAAGAAATAAAATCTTTAAAAAAAATAAAAATGAAAAAGTAAGGGCGCCTGGCTGGCTCAGTCTAGATCATGTGACTCTTGATCTCAGCGTTGTAAGTTCAAGCCCCACGTTGGATGTGGAAATTGCTTAAAATAAAACCTTTAAAAAATAACTAAGAATGAAAGAAGTAACAAATTTATACTACTATTTAAATTTTTTTTCTATTTAAAATTTTTTACTTGTATTCCTTTCACAATGAAAATTGTGGTACCTAACCACAGGAATGTAATATTAATCTGCTTTATCCTATGATTTCTATACATTTGAATTTCACTGTTTCTTTTATTTCAGCTTTCATGTCCTTAAAAATGAGATGTTTACTAGGCACACATTGTTTCGTCAGTTTGCAGTACTTGCTGATACATCCTTCAATTATATTGTAAGTACATATAATGTTTAGACACTGTCTCTTCGATGATATTTGTACATTTCTTTCTGTTCTTATTTCACATTCATTGAACCCCTATCCTTACAGACTCTGGAGATAGTACACAACAGTCATTCTGCTAGATACTAAGGATGTAAGACCGAGTGCCTGAACCCAAAGAGCTCAGTCTGATATGAGATATAAATATGTAAACAAATTCTTTCAGTACAATATGGTTGAACTATAATAGAGACAAGCAAAAAATTCATAGAAGGGGTGAACCTAGCTGGGAAGCATTTGTCAGTCTGACTACTTCTGGGTGTGGATGTAATGTAAGGAAATATCCAAAGCTCAAGGTCCAAGTATCCAGTCACTTCCAAAAGGGAAAAAGGAGGTAAAAGAATCTTTTCCTAGTACCAAGTCATTTATTTTTCATTCTAGAAGTCACTTGTAGATGAAGCCCAATTTTAAAATAGACTATTTCTTAACCTATTTAATTAGCTTTTATTTGGGAGCTATGATTATAAAACTAAATGATGTCCAGTGTAGAAATGTATCCAGTAAATTTCAAATAGTAAGAAAATTAGTGTGTTGTAAATGCTATTGAGCACCTGTCATGATGCTAAGTATTCTGGGGCAAGTCAGGTTTGTGGGAAAGAGCATGAGAAACACAAAATACAGACTCTTGCTTTAGGAGGTGTCCAATCTAAAATCACTCTTAAAATTTTTTTCAACCTTTTTTACTTTAAGATTTTATTTTCTAAATTTAAGTTGCTGCAGGATATGAAAGAACTAAGAATGTTGGCAAGATAGCATTAAATTATTTCTGATTTTTTACTAAATTTACCCGGTAATCTGAAACTTTTTGAGCTTTTAATAATTGACTCCTCTGAAATGTCCCCAGACTGGTCTACATAGATAAGAATATATAGTCTCTTTTTTTTTTCCTCCTTTTGGTTTTTCCTCTTTCAACTGAAGGTTACAGTTTCAATTGGAGTAATCCTCATTTCAGATATTTAATCAGCTGGACAAATAAAATATTGGTGGGCCCATGAGAATGATGTGCTAACTCAAAAATCGGGCTTTATTTTAGGATTACCTGACATAATGGTCTGGTCCAAATGTGAATTGGTGAGGTTTTATGAAACAGAATTCTAAAATCTCAAAGTTACACCGGTCCAGGCCCATTAACAGATCCAGTCCTTTTCTTGAGAAAAATCTCTGCCCTGCCCTCAATCTACCTTCTTGTGGAGGAGAGCTAGTGCTCCATCCAACCTAGAATATGTCCGTGTGCCATTACTTCTCTGGGATACCAGGCCCATGATCCTTATCTGTATGTCCATAAAGCATACAGGCACTCAAGACACTCATCAGAGTGGATAGCAAATATTGAAGAAAAATAGACAGGGGCTGGGGGAAAGAGGAGGGAAAGAGAGAGTGATGAATGAATGAGTTTTGGGTAACTAACATTTTTCCTTGGTTCCCTACACAGTATAGCCACTCATCCACTTCACAAATATTTATTGAGTGTCAACATGTACCAAGCACCATGCTCCGTGCCGGGAATGAGATAGTGCACATGACAAATAGAGCTCCTTCCTTTATAGACTATGTCATGAGAGCACAGACTAGTCTCTCTTGTAAACTGTTTAACTCACAGAGATTAGAATAGCACCTGACTTCCCAAGTAGAGAACATAGGTATTAATAAGGAAATATCAAACTTTAAATTACATAATTGAATAAATGCTATGAAAGAAAATGTTTAGTATTTCCTGACTAAACAAGTTTAAACAAGTTTATTATGAATGAAAAAATTAAGGAATTCTTTATACAATTTGGAAACTAACCCTTTGTCAATTATATGTGTTGCAAAATGCCTTCTTTCAGTTTTGGATGGTATTTTGCTATCTTTTCATAAATAAATGCTCTTAATCTTGATGTTAATTTAATTACTAATACTTTCTTTTTTGCCTTCACATTGTTTCTACCTTGTTTAAGAAGACCTTACCTAACCTTTTGTCACAAATATATTCTTTATGATTTTTAAATATTTTCCTTTGCCTTTCATGTTTAGAGGCTTAATCCCTCTAGAATTGATAGTGTATAGGAAGGTAGAAGTCTGATTTCATCTTCTTTTAATACAGAAAATCAACTGAACTAGCATCATTTATTAAAAAGTCTATCTTTTCCCTGGATACCTAATTCTACCTGTTATGTATATTATATTAAGGCTTCATATATGTAACAGCCTGTTTCTGTCTCTCTAATCTGTTCTACTGTTCCATTTGTCTATTCTTGTACTAATATGACACAAATTTAATATATCTACCTTTATTATGTCTTTTTCTGATAAGGCAAATACCCTTACCTTGGTGTTGATCTTTGCATTTCCATATAAAGTTTAGAATCAAATTGTTAATATTCACAGAAAAAAGCAGAAACATAAGAAACAAAAAAATTAAATTGGGATTTTGATTAGAAGTTCATTAAATCACATCAATTTGGCTACAGTTGACATCTTTACAGTACTGAGTCTTCTAATCCATAAGCATGCTATTTATTTTGTCTAGATTTGATTTCAGTAGAGTTTTATAATCTTCTCCACAGTTTAATAAAATTGTTGTTTAATTTAATATTAGATACCTTATATTTTTACACTACTCTATTCTAATGGGTGAGTTGCACATTTCTTCATGTAATTTGTATCAATGTTGCTTTATATAATTTGAAGATGTGTTATTAGATGCTTACTACTTTAGAATTATTATGTCCCCTCTGATAAATTGAACATTTTACTGTTATTTTATGATCCTCTTTATCTCTACAAATGCTTTTTGCCTTTAAGTCTGTTTGCTTTATATTACTATAGCTGCCTACCTTTTTGTAGGTTATTATTTTCATGTGTTTTTTTCTGTTCTATCACTTTCAATCCTTTATATGCTTATGCTTTAGTTGTGACTCTTTTAAGCAGTATATAGCTAGTGTTAGAATTTGTTCTTAATCCAGTTTGACAAATTTCTGTCTTTTAACTGGAGCATTTTGGGATCCCTGGGTGGCGCAGTGGTTTGGCGCCTGCCTTTGGCCCAGGGCGCGATCCTGGAGACCCGGGATCGAATCCCACGTGGGGCTCCCAGTGCATGGAGCCTGCTTGTCCCTCTGCCTGTGTCTCTGCCTCTCTCTCTCTCTCTGTGTGTGTGTGTGACTATCATAAATAAATAAATAAAAATTAAAAAAAAAAGTTTAACTGGAGCATTTTTTCTATTTAAATGTATTGTGGTCATTAATTCATTTGCACTTATTTCTGTCTTATTTTGTATTTGTCCCTCTTTTCTATGTTTTTCTCCTTCTTGCATTCTTGTGAATTGGCTAATTTGTTCTCATATGTCCTTTAGAAAGTTATAAACTTTATCAGGAAAACCCAAGGTTTTATACCTTTATCATCCTCCAGAACAGTAAGATTTCTTTAAGCAATTAAATTGAAATCACCATCCACTGTCAGTCTATTAGGCTGTGATGTCATATATTTTAGTTCTATCTGGTTTCCTTTATCCCCACAGCATATTATTATTATAGGTTTACTTGGTTAACATTTGAGTTTACTTATATATTTACCACTTTCTTTATTCACAACTCCTTCTTGCATCTCAGACCTTTCATCTCCCGACCTCTTTCCTTATGTGTGAAGTGCATTCATTAGAATTTCCTTTGTGGGGTTTTGCTGGTGGGTAACACTCTTCAGTTTTTATTTCATGAAAAAAATGTCTATTTCTGCTGTTGTTGGAAGATATTTTTGCTAAGTATAAAGTTTTGGGTTGATGGTACTTTCTCTTTGCACATGGAGTGTATCATTCCATTCTCTCTTAGTTTCCATTGTTAGTAGGGAATTTTTCTCTTTTTTTTTTTTTTTACTGTGGTTTCCTTAATGTTAATTGCCTTTTCGTCTCTAACCACTTTTAAAACTCTTCTTCTTTAATGTTCTGCAATTTTACCATGATGTATCTAGTTGTAGATTTCTTTTGTTTATTCTGCTTGAAATTCATTGTACTTCTTGAAAGTGAAGATTGGTTTCATTTGTTTGTTCTGAAAAGTTTTCAGTCACTATTGATATTTTGCCTTAGCCCTACTATTTCTTTTGAAACTATACTTTGTCTTTCTGTCCTCTATAGTCCATAGTTTTCTTTTATATTTGGCCCAACTTTGTCTCTGAGCTGCATTCTAAATAGTATATTCCATTCTATCTTTAACTTTATTAGGTATTTTTCAAATATGTGTCTTTTTTTGTTAAAATTGTCACCCAGGGCAGCCCTGGTGGTGCAGTGGTTTAGCGCCGCTTGCAGCCCAGGGCCTGATCCTGGAGACGCTGGATCGAGTCCCGCGTCGGGCTCCAGGCATGGAGCCTGCTTCTCCCTCTGCCTGTGTCTCTGCCTCTCTCACTCTCTCTGCATCCCTATGAATAAATAAATATAATCTTTAAAATAAATAAATAAAAATAAAATTGTCACCCAAATTTTAATTTCACTTGTTATATTTATCATTTTTAAGCAATGCACAAATAAATTTTGTTTGGTTCTTTTTTTCAAATATGTTTACTATTTATTCATCATCAAGCTTTGTTTTTCATTTCTTAAAATATATTATACACACCCATTTTATATTCTATGGCTGAAAATTCCTGTATCTGAGGATTAGAGGGTCTGATTCCACTATCTTTTGTTTCTACTGCAGCCACTCATGATGTATGTAAAGATTTTTGATGATTTTAATGATGAGCTGTTCACTTTTCCTTTACAAGAAAAATTGAAGCCTGAACTGAAGAGGAATTCTTACATAAAAGATTTTAATGTGCTTCTGTCCATTGCCATGAGCACCATCACTATAGAAGTATATTAAACTAAATGCTTTTAGCCTATGGTGTTTTAGACCACAGGTGAATTCAGCTTATAGACAACATGGACTAGTTATTGATTAGGAATTCTCAGGAGAGACTTTTTCTTCTTTAACTAAGGGCCCACCCTTGGACATTTTCCTTGCAAACTGCTTGGGAGAGCCTTACTTGAAGTTGCATTTAACCCTTACTGTGGTTATAGTCTTGTTGTCCCAAATGTATAGCGGGGTAGACATTTGTTACTACACGTTAGGTGGGTCTTGGGCTCCAGAGTCATAGGACCCTTTGACAACTCTTGCATTCATTCATTAAGTTTGATGAATGCCTTCAAAGTGAATTGTAGCTCCAGGATGGAAGACTTAGGTTTCCATCTTCCCTTAGTCTTAGACATGCATATTCTTGATTTTTTCATCAGCTTTTGTCTACATTTAAGAGTATTAGAAGAGGAAGTCTTATTTGGATTTAAACGTTCCTCTTGTGTTTTAATCACCAGTCATCTTTCCATAACATATCCATAATTCCTTTCCATTTTATCTTACCTTATTCTTTTCCAGAGACTTCTGCCTATATTTCCTAGAGGCCATTTATTCTTATACTCTTCTTTGGGGCTCAAAATCTCCATGAAGTTTTCCTCTAGATCTCATAATAGACCTATTTAAAACTATATACTTCTTCTGATTCCAGGATACTGTTTAAATGATTCTATAGTTTTTTTTTCATAGTCCCTGTTTTATTTATTATTTTCTCATCCTTGACAGGATGAGACATATTGAAACCTAATATTATCAACTGCATTCTCTTGTGTATTGCTTAAATATGTCTTTCATACTTACAATTGGAAGGCAGATTGTATATGCACAGCACCTAATTCTGATCCAAATTTTACCAGGATTTTACCATTTTCAGTCCTGCCATGGAGGTCACATTTCCTCCTACACTCACTACTTGAACATATGAAATGATGAAGAACATTAAAAACTTAAATTCCTAGAAGTCATACATTTAACACTGGCTTCTTTTACCATTTTCATGAAAGAGTTGAAGGTACTGAGGGAAGGACCCATATGGCTATCTGGGAGAAGAATTTTCTAGAAAAGGAAAAGGCCATTGGAAGACTCTAATATGGAAATGTGCCTTACATGCTTGGAAAGCAAAATATCCAGTGTGCCTGGAGCAAAGTGAAGGAGAGAAAGCAAAGAGAGAAAATACCAGAGGAGAGATCCCTGGGTGGCTCAGCGGTTTAGCGCCTGCCCAGGGCGTGATCCCGGAGTCCCGCATCGGGCTCCCTGCATGGAACCTGCTTCTCCAACTCTGCCTGTGCCTCTGCCTCTGTCTCTGTGTGTCTCTCATAAATAAATAAAAATCTTAAAAAAAAAGGAGAGCAAATACCAAAAATGTGGTCAAAGGAATCATAGGCGTTTGATTTTTTTTAACCCTGTAAAATTGGGACCCTTTCAGAGCTTTGAGCAGAGGAATAAGATGATCTCACTTAACATTTTAAAAGTACAATTCTAGCATCTATAGAGGGCTTAGGGAGAAAGAAGCAGGTTAGGAAGCTATGAAGTGATACTGGTAATATGATAGTACGGCTTGGATTGCCTTTGAAGAGGAAAGAGACAAAATGAGGCAGATATATGCCTGCAGTACTACGTAGTACTATGTACTGTATGGTACTAGATTTTTAGGTGTACATAGCAGAATGGATGGATCCTGAAAACATAATACTTAGTAAAAATACTTAGTGCTTAGCAAAAGAAGTGGGAACACACAAGGAATACTGTGCTTCACTTTGAATCTAAGATGTGCTTAACATTGGTTCAAGGTTTTATGACTCTAAAAGAGAAAAGTGCTGCCAATTATACTGTAACACTCCATCTATTACAGGATGCCACCCAATTTTAGGGATATTAAATACCAGAAGGCTTTGCCTTAGAATCAACAAAATAGGATAGCACATAACACCACTAGCATAAATTAAAAAGCATGCACAAAAGTATGTATTTTTGCAAGAACATATCCAAATAAAAGATACACATAAAATATTTAAATCGTTTCTTTGGGGTGGTAACAAAGAGTGGGAGTGGCTATGGAAAATAGAAAAATACACACAAACAGCCCTGTGTGCATGCATGTATATATCACACAATTCAAGAGAGAAGCCCTGAATATGGAAAACTTGGTATAAATCGCCACTATTCATCCATGGACCTGAGAGCTCTTCTTGATTTAACATGCTTAGTGTACCTTTCATCCTTTTCACCTGCACATGTTTGTTGTTGTAATTTACTTTGCAATATATGATACTGGGAACAATTCTGCTTGCATGCTGCTGCTCCTGACCTCCTGGAAGATATACTTTTGGCTTTTCACCATTCAGTTCCCAGGAATTAGGATCAATCCTGCCACAGCTTCCTGGAGCAAGGAGGTGATAGGGACACAACTCTGTGATACCTGGTCAGTTACAAGTTGTAAATCCCAAATGGAGTAGAGATCATCAAAAGGAAAGAGAGTCAAGGGACAGAAGATAACTATACTTGGGGTAAGCAGAGCATAATGAGGAAACTAGTCAAATCTCTAAGTTATACATCTGAAATTAATGTAAGACTGTGTGTCAATTGTACTCAAATTTAAAAAAAAAAGAAAAGAAAAGAAAAGGAAGTAGAGTCAGAACAGCCATTGAAGAAAACATTTTCTTGAATTTTCTATCAAAGTAGCCCAAATGAGGAAGAGGTCCATCTATTCCATGGATTTCAAGGAAATGATTTCCCCAGCCCTATTTAAGCAAATAAATTAAGACCTTAGTTTTCGTGTCTTGGTTAATTAAGGACTGAAGAACATCCTACATCCATTTGATTTGATAATACTTCCTCTTGATAACAAAATCCATACCTTCTACGCCTTTCAGAAATTGAAGCCTTTATTCGTGCAGTCTAAATTGAACTCGATGACAGGTTCTACATCTTCTGGAAGTGATCATACACCTTTGGTAGGTAGATTATTTTTTCTTTCTTAAACATTTAATTAGTTGCTATTATTCAACCTCAGTAATGAAACTTTTTGGTTTACCTGCAGATAGATAAGGACCTGGATGCAGTCAGTGATCAGACATTTTCCCCCTCTTTATCAAAAGGTAAGAATCTTTATTGTTGGGGAAAAAGGCTTACACACAGAAGGGGTACTTGGTCTAGATTGACCTCTCCTCATATTTGTTATCCTGAGGCATTTGGAATTCTAGGTGAATGCATGGCTTTTTTTCAGCCAGTTTATAAAACTAATATGTAGGTGTGCTGAATAAAAGAATGCTAATATGCATTTCTGAATATTGGCCCCTGCTAATTGAAAATGAATTTAATCATATTTCAAAACTAGAAACTATCTCAATTGGGATCCTTTTCTATTTTATTAGTCAAACTGCCAACAAACCTGAAACTCCTGTTGAATTCCCATTTGTCCATTTTAATAACTAGAAGAAAAGTTTGACTATTGCTCGCATACTTTATCTGCCATCGGTCCTTACAGGGCTTTAAACTGGATTCTTTTGGAACTAAAAGTATGTTTTGTCCATAAGCTTCTATAAATCTTCAGGAGATAGCCATGCTTCCTTTTCTCCATTAAACAAGTTAGATGAACAAAATATATGATATTATTAGTTTGTTTTTTTTTAAAGATTATTTATTTACTTATTCATGGGAGACACACACACACACACAGAGGCAGAGACACAGGCAGAGGGAGAAGCAGGCCCCATCCAGGGAGCCCAACGTGGGACTCCATCCCAGGTCTCCAGGATCATGCCCTGGGCTGCAGGCGGCGCTAAATCGCTAAGCCACCCAGACTGCCCTGATATTATTAGTTTGAATTCCTATTAATGATGATAGCCAGAGTCAGTAATTTCTGTTTTTCATATCTGGGAATTTTTAAAGGTAGAATTTTACAATAAATATTTATGCAAGTGAGAAGTATGTGATAAGAATTTAAATCCTTGGGATGCTTAGGTGGCTCAGCAGTTGAGCGCCTGCCTTTGGCTTAAGGTATGATCATGGGTGCAGGAATCGAGTCCCACATCGGGCTCCCCGCAGGAAGCCTGCTTCTCCCTCTGCCCATGTGTCTGCCTCCCTTTCTGTGCCTCTAATGAATAAATAAATAAAATCTTAAAAAAAAGAGTTTAAATCCTGGGCCCTAATTTTAAACTACTTTTTAGAAAAAGTTTGTATTTATCTATTTGAGACAGAGAAGAAAGAGAGAGAGCGAGCATGAGTGAGGGGAGGGGCAATGGCAAAGGGAGAAGCAGACTCCCCCCTGAGCAGGAAGCCCGATATAGGGCTCAATCCCAGGACCCCAAGATCATGACCTGAGCCAAAGGCAGACACTTAACCAACTGAGCCAGCCAGACACCTGTAAACTCTACTTTTTGAAAACTATTCTACTTCAGCAGAGAGGAACCTTTCTTCTGGGCTTCCATGCAACAGAGAGGCTTTTTCTGTAGTGCTCACATTATAGGTAATATCTGTTCTTAAGGTGCCTGCCCAAGGTACAAAGAAATCTTCCAACAATCATAGGGCTGCCATTTAGAAAATAGTAATGCCCAGACTCTATAACACAGTGCCAGATTGCAGAGTGGCTACCTTTTAATGATATCAATGGTTAAATAAGGTTAGAGAAAGAAGACTAGATCTGTTGAGTTATTGGAAATTCTACTTACACAGGTAAGTTACTTCTAAAACATCGTAATGTATTAAGAGAAGAGAGACTCTCATGATTTATCATAAAAATCTAGATTGTTGAATTTGGAACCTGTGGCTGGCCTGACATTTTAATTACAGAGTTTCATTAACAGCAGCATCCCATACCCCAAAAGATTCAATTGAGGATTTTGCATCCAAAATTGATTGCCCACAGACAACCAAACTGTTTTTCAAATGTCCATTTGAAGTGGTACACATGAACCTTTGTGGCCACCTGGAGTAAAAGGCAGCCCCAGCTGAAACAAACGTCATTTCTTTGCCTCCACCCTGAAAATGCAAAAGATAGAGTTATTTCTACCTTATCTACTGAAAATCCTCCTATGATTCATTAGTCCGCTCCTTTGCCTTACTAGGTAAAGTCAAATGTAAATGCTTTTTTATGATCCATAATCCTGCAGTACTCCACAAAGATCTATTATTCTGAATATTAATCTGCATTGCAGAGGAGATGTATATAACAATGGTCACACCACATGCCTTGGGACAAAACTCTGAAATTTCTTTACTAAATCTCTGATACAACTTTGATATGTCATGTTGTTCTCCTTAAAGATAATGTGGGGAAATAATCCAGTGAACAGAATTTTCTGGTTAAGTTCCAGTTAATCCAAAATTTACTAGAAATAAATTTTCTATTTGTAATGAATAGAAATGAATAAATGAATGCCAGGAGGAAAGCTGAATTACAATTTGCTAAGTCGAGGAGTAACTGACTTTCATTAGCACACAGATTATGGCTACTGGATGATATTCACACTAGACATACAAAGGGCCAAAGTATCTTCATGAAACAGGTCATTCCAAGTTTTTCAGATCCTTCAGATGCTTGAGTACCCCCTTCGGGACCCTAGGAAATAGTTTGATTCATTATTACTATTTTCCAGCACTAATTCACAAGTACATTATCAAAGAGGTGTTTAGCCACATGGTTAGTATGTACCTGGTTTATAGACAAATAATTATTTTCTGTAGCATGGGGTATTACTGTAACCTATCTGGTAATGGACCCTGAATCAAACTCTTTAAAGTCACCATTGTATTGAGTTCCATTTTTTAGACTATGTAAATAGAATATTAATATTTTAAATACTTACTGAATATTTAGCCTCCCTGTCAACAGGATCCTCAGTGTTACACCAAAGAACCTAAGAGTTTCCTCAGTTATACTTTCACACTACAAGGTTCTTCTAAAATTTAGGTATAGTTAACATTTAGTGGATTTAGGTACTACTGTAAATGTCTTTCATGTTTTAGCTTTAATCCTCACAAAACCCTAGGAGGTTGGCACTCTTGCCTTCCCCCAGTCAACCTACAGAGATAGAGAGTTTACTAGACAGAGTTGACTAGGCTACCAGAGTTATACCACAAATAGGTGATGCCGCTGGATTCAAGCCCAGACAGGGTGGCCCCAGGGCCCTGGCTTGTCACCATTTAATTATATTGACTTGTGTCAAGTCAATGCATGACCAATCGCCCCATTCTCAACCACATGCAATGGGAATATATGAGATATAGCAGAGAGGCCATGGAGGCTGACAGACTTCACTTCTCACCCTAGCTCCAGCCACTTACTGACATCATCTCAGGTCCCTCTGCTGTGGAAAATGGGAATGGTGACCCCACCTCATAGCTTTGTGATGAGGATTATGTTATGTGCCTAGCTAACCCCTATTTCTCTGAGCTATTGATCATACTTTCCCCAAGTCCCCCAAATGAAGTCTGCAAACCGATCACTTAGCCCACCACACCAGGGTCCTAATGTCCTCAGCAGTAGAATGGCCTGATGATTTAAAAGAACCAGTCTCTCCTCTGGTTCTTCAATAATTATTTTTCTACCAACATAAGTATAAGGATTAAATTGATCATTAGTATCAAAATATACAGTAGGTATTTTGAAAACAGTGAAATAAAACATGTATAGTTTAAAACAATGTTATATCAGGTGATCCATCTTTTCTAAGCAGATTGAAAATGACTTTTTGTTATATTGCAAGTTTTAATCCAAAAATTCTAGAGGGAATGACAGATTCACTAATGAAACGTAGAAAAAGAGATAAATAGCTTAAAAAGAGAGAGAGATAAATATATCCTTGTTAATATAAGGGAATAAAAAATGAGGTATGATACGATCTGCAAAATTTCAAAGCAGTTTTTACGCAGTAGTAATGATCCCAAGAGAACCCAGGTAACATTATTAATTTGTTTGCTACTTAACTGTGATAAAATTTGGGATCTGAGCTACCCATTGTGTACTGTGCACTGCCACAGATTTTATGTACTCAAGAAGACCTTTCTCACAGTCCAGTAATTAGGTGCTATTGACATTGTAATCTTTGGAAATGTTCTTAATGAGCCCCAAAGACACGAATCTCATAGATAAAACCTCAAAGTAACACTGACCCTTTAAGTGGCTTTGTCAGTAAGAGAAAGCTCAAACATAAATATCTGAAGCACAGAAGAAACCCAAATTTAAACGTAGATTACATTGTTTTGTTCATTCTCTGAGATTTTTGGGCAAGAAACATTGAAGAGGTGATTTTAAAGGCTTTTAAAGACTAGTGTAACAATTGTAATATATTTGAAATAAGTAAAAAAGCTTTTATTTCACCCTTTGAAGCTCTGGACTTGAAAAGTGTTTGTTTTTTTTTTTAAGTGTGTTTCCCACCAACTTGTAAAAATAAATACTGACAATGGAGTTCAGTTGCCCCTGTTTTTAATGCAAAAATAATTTTTAAAATCACTTAGAAATTGCAGCTTAAAAGATAAAAAGCAAAAGAAATTTCAGGAATAGTGTAGGCATTATTTTACAAATTATTTCTAGATTTTAACTATAATTAATATAATTTAGTACAGTTTTCAAATTTATTTTCAAATGCACATTTTATAATATCGCCACATTTTCTACGTATGAATATAAGCAATATATAACATCATTTAGCATGTAATTGATGGCTATTAAAAATGTTAGAAGAAAGCATTAATCCATAAATATGAGTTAAGTACCAGGACTAAGCTAATTTACTAAACATAATATATTAAGAGGTCTGTAAGGGTTAAGATATCACTGCCACCAACTTCTCTACTATTTCCCTATTGTCAGGGAAATTACCAAATACCTATTACCAATTACCTATTATTCAAACAGTGTATTTTTAATTTATAGATGACATCCTTGTCTTTGAGATTTGGGCTGATTCTCAACTACCTATCCTCGTGAATTTTTCTGATTTTTCCTACCGATATTCTAGAGATTATTTTCTCCTCGAGTCATGGGATTTAGGATATTACATGGTAATGAAAGCCTGGAATGTTAGCGGTACATCTCTTAAAACACCTTTCCAAATACAATGAATTCTCAGTGACATAGAAAAGAGTCAGGACACCT